CCTTATTAGTGAAAGGGAGCAAGAGTACCGGAGCACCTTAATGACTCACAAAATTTGTGGCAGGGAAGGAGCTTCCATGAGTCACTGCTCACTTCTTCAGATACAGCTGGACTGTGAGTCCATCCTTCTTGGAGAGTGAAGTGATTTCAAACACCAAAGGACAATGGCAGGCATTGGTAATGAGAGAAGAAACCTAGGTCTCAATTCAGTCCAGGAGTTTGAATTGTCTTGAGCTTCATTGATCAGCTGCAATCCAACAGTCTCTCCTTCTAATCTCCCTTTGAAATTGCTTTGTAAGAGAACTGCTACTCTTAGGTCAGCAACTGAATGCCTTTGGAGGTTAAAATGTTCCCCCACTGGTTTTTGAATGTTGTGGTTTCTAATAGTAGTAGAAAGAGTCCAGTAGCACCTTTAAAGACTAACAAAATTGTGGTAGGGTATGTGCTTTTGTGAGTCACTGCTCACGTCTTCAGACTTATTTCCATTTATTCTTTGCATCCTCCTGGACTGAATCCTCCTGTTCCAAATTGAGACCTAGGTTTCCTGTCTCATTACCAGTGCTGGTATCTCCACCCGTCTGCCTATCACTACTAATCCAATCATGCCTGCTATTGCCATTTGGCATCTGAAATCATCTTTATTATAAAGTGTCTATCTCCGGTACCTCGTGTTGCATTTTATGGCACGCATGGCCCAGCCCGACAAAGTGACATTTATCTCAGATCCAGCCCTCGTAACAAATGAGTTCAACACCTCTGCATTAGACAGCTAGAAATTCAACACAGCTGGAATGGGGGGGTGGAGTTTCACCCAGCATCCCTCAGGAAGGACAGAGGATTAAGCCGCCTCGCCAAGTGGCCCCCAGAAGGCAGCGTCTCCTGTTGCTCCCGAAGTCTGCCACCAGGCAATCTGGGGCCAACGACAGAGCCGGCCCCTGCCTAGCCAGGTGCTGGAGACAGCCCCCGGAACGCTCCTAGGCGCCAGCCCCGTTCTCCGGACAGCCTGTCCCCCCCCACCACCCTTAGGGCACTCCCTCTGAGGACAGGTAACTGGCTTCTCCGAGGTCGGGCCAGCCCTCCAGAACGGGCCCCCAGAGTGGGCTGGCAGAAAGGCTGGCGTTGGGAGGAATCATAGATTTCATAGAATGTTAGAGTTGGAAGGGACCTTGCAGGTCATCTAGTCCAACCCCCTGCACTCTGCAGGAGCAGAGCCGAAAGAGAACCCTGCAACATCCCTGAAAGAGGGTTGTCCAGCCTCTGCTTGGAAACATCCAGCGAAGGAGCCTCCACCACCTCCCGAGGCAGACTGTTCCACTGCTCAACCACTCTGACAGTTGGGAAGTTTCTCCTGATATTTAGCCAGTAGCCTTGTAATTTCCACCCATTAGATCTAGTCTTGCAACCCGGAGATCTGCTCCATCTTCTACATGACAGCCCTTCAAATACTTGAAGACTGTAATCACGTCCCAACCACTCTGACAGCTGGGACGTTTCTCCTGATATTTAGTCGGTATCGACTCCCTTGCAATTTCCACCCATTAGACCTAGTCTTGCAATCTGGAGCAAGAGAGAGAATAGATCCGCTCCACCTTCTACATGACAGCCCTTCAGATACTGCAATCCTGTCCCCTCTAAGCCTTCTCTTCTCCCCGGCTAAACATGAAGCAAACTGTCTCAGCAGGTTCGTGTGCTCCTTCTCTTTTGCTAACACAGCATTGTGTTTTGAGTGCACGCAACCTGCCGCTGCCACGTGAGCAGCCTCGAGTCTGAGTTCACACCCACGTGGACAGACCCGATACGTGTTGGGGGACCCAGGGAGTGGGGGTCCCGAAGCCCCTCCCCCCTCAGCAGCTCAATGCCTCCAGGAAGGACCAGCCACGACGAGGAGGACAGGCCCCCGAACGGCAGTGGGGAGGCCAGGACAGCAGAGGTGGCGGCAGCGGTGGCTGCTGCTTGGGGCCAGGCAAGCGGAGAGGTGGCCCCTTTGCAGGCCTAGTGGTGGATGCGGGCCGGGCCTCGGGGCCTGTGGCTGGCTCAGCCAGGGTGGGGGACAGGGACACACGCTCTCTCTGTTCTGGACACCCACCCTGTGCATCACGCCCAGCACAGCCACTGAAGTGCCCCCCCCCCCCGGGAGGGCCTTCCTCTCCCACCCTTCCACAGCGCCTGCCCGGCCCCCCCACCCCACCCCCCTTCAGACCTCGCCTTGGGCGGACGGCTTGGCCCAGACCCCTCCCCGCCCCCCTACTCAACAGGCACAGCAGCCCTGGCTCACATTCACCCCTCCGCGCCGTCCAAAGGGCATGAGAGTCAGGATGACCTCCAGCTCCGCCATGGGCCCTGCTTACCGGGTGCAGGATGGTGCCCAGGATATTCTGGTTGTGGCAGCTCTCCAGGACGATCTGCACGTCTCTCTGCAGCAGCCGGGACTCCGTGAAGAACTTGGCTTCTGCCGCAAAAGGCTCCGGCGTCTCCGTGCCGTCTGCTTCCCGCTTGAACGTGGGGCACTGGCAGGAGACCAGCAAGGTCAGGGCAGGGCAGGGCAGGGACACCCCCCCCCCCTCAACTGCCGCTGGCGGCCGAGGGGGGCATCATCGCCAGGCCCTTCCCCCACGCGCCCCGTGTGCCCCCTCTGGGCTTCAGCGGCACTAGTGCAGATGCGGCTTGGCACCGATGTGTATGCCATCCACACAACACACTCACACTTAGCCGTCTCCAATTAATGCATGAGTTCGGTCAGGAAAGACCGTCCTAGTCTGCCAGAAGACTGCTTAGGGCGACAGAGGGGTCGCACCACCCTTCAGAAGAGTCCCTCGGCCTGGAAACAGGAACCTGGGCCAGCACCGGACAGTCCAGAAGACACACACCCCCCCCCCCCAGTGCCTGAGGTGCCGGCCTCCAGATTCAGATCCAGAAGACTAGGACTAAGGCAGACCGGACCACCGCCGGCTCACCAAAGCGGGAAGCCCCCGCCCCTCTCCCCCCTGCGCGATGGCAGGGGCAAACCGTTCCAGCCAGAGGGAGCTGAGCAGCAGGCGGGGGGAGAGAGTGTTCGGGGCCCACCCCCCACCCGAGGGCTGCACAGGAGCCTCACCTTGATGCCGGAGAGCATGACGGTGACCAGGTAGTAGTCAGGGAGGAGCAGGGCGCGCACGACGCTGCCGTCCCGGACGTGCTCGATGATGGCTGTGGAACACAACGCAGGCGCTCAGGTGCCCCGCCTTCCTTCCACGGGGCTTTCTGCCGCCCCACCCAGGCCGGAGGGAGAGCCAGCTTACGGCACACAAGCCTCTCAGCTGACTCCTGCCCCGAAGCGCAGCCCGCCTCACCCCCTGCCCGCGCAGCAGGCCACTCACCGTTGACGGGCTTCTGGTGCATGGAGTCGACAAAGTGTCGGGGGTTCTCAATGGTGTACTTGAGGTCACGGATGGTGTGTGAGCCGGTCCCGTCGCTCCAGGTTCCCTTCTTGGCAATCCGGGCCTGGCCTTCCAGCTCAGCCAGTCTGTTCTGTTCCGGGCTGGAGAAAAGGGGATAGAGCAGGTAGGGAGCTAGTTTTGAGCCCTTTTGCCTGGACACCACCTTCTAGTACCAGTTGGCTTGACAGGATCGGAAAAGCCAGACTACATCCCCCCAAACACCCACTTCTGCCCTTCTGTGTAAAAGGATATAATGGTTGGTGGTATCAAAGTCCATTGACAGGTCCAGGAGAATCAACAGCTTCAAGAGAGGACTGGATAAACATCTGGAGCAGAGGTCCATGAGTGGCTGTTAGCCACTAGGTATGGATGGAACACATATGCCTGGGGCAAGTGATGCTCTGTATTCTTGGTGCTTGGAGGGGGCAACAGTGGGGGGGGGGGCTTCTGGTGTCCTGGCCCCACTGCTGGACCTCCTGATGGCCCCTGGTGTTTCTGGCCACTGTGTGACCCAGAGCGTTGGACCAGATGGGCCAATGGCCTGATCCAACATTGGCGTCGCTTATGTTCTTATGTCTGGGGCAGGGGATGCTCTGTATTCTTGGTGCTTGGGGAGGGGGGCAACAGTGGGAGGGGCTTCTAGTGTCCTGGCCCCACTGCTGGACCTCCTGATGGCCCCTGGTATTTCTGGCCACTGTGAGACACAGAGGATTGGACCAGATGGGTCACTGGCCTGATCCAGCATTGGCTTCTCTTACATTCTTATATGGAGCAGAGGTCCCTCAGTAGCTATTAGCCACAAGGTATAGATAGGAACTCTCAGGCTGGGGCCAGGGATGCTCTGTGTTCTT